TATGTAAAGCTGGTTGGTCTAGGTTTCAGATCCTCTCAGATTTTATTTTGGAGGTAACGGCTTTATATCAGGTACTCAGGAGCTCCCACAGAGGCCCAAGTCAGTCTCCAGTCTGGAGCACTCAAGTTTCCTTCTAATGTTTGGATACCTACTGGTAAGTACTCAGAGCACAATTTGGGAAAGCCTCTCAGTCCCTACACCAGGCAGAGGCCAGATCAGGAGCTCTCAGGCAGTCTGTTGAGTTGTCAGCGCCATCCCAGGTGGAGGCCAGATCAGACACTCTCAGGCCTTCTGCCCCACTCTTTAAACTCTCTCATCAGCACTCTGCTCTTCAGCTTCGATATACTTTATGTGATGGTCCTCAATTTCACATAGCCTTTTTCACCTGACATTTTCAATCATCTCTTAGTCTATTCATGCTTTTTAAAACTCAATCATTATAACATACATCCTAGACATTCTCTATGCTTTCTCTAATTAGATAACCTATTTCTTCATTCATTAAAATCATATTTTCCTTTTAATTCATTGTGTTGTATTAGTGCTGCTTTAAGACTCTCATTTGATTATTCAGTATCGGAGTTATCTGTTTCTAAGTTCCTTTTTAATATCATGGACCACATTTTTTTGCTTCCTAGAATCTCATGAGCAATTTTTATTTTACATTCAATATTGAGGATAATATAAGAAGTCTGTAGTGTACTATCTTTCTTTCCAAGTACAATGAATGTTTTATTATGACAGACAAAGTGCTTGTCCTTGATCTTGTTCAAGCTTTATTTAAAGAAGATCTAGAGTACACTTTATTTCTAGGTGAAGCTTTTTGGTGTCTCAATAAATGTCTTTGAAGTAATGAAGATTCTCTGTTCTTCTAGGCTATGCAGTATTACTAGACTTAGCAATTCTATTTTTTCTGTTTGCTTGGTTTTACCACTATTCTTTGTAGGACTTCATGGTCTTAATCTGTGTAAACAGAACTATATATCTTATTGCTTTGAGCTGAACTTTAAAGGTTTGCTTATAATGCCACCTAATGTTTGTAACTGTGAACCATAACCCTAGAAATAGATACCAAATTTATGCCAATACCTTACCTTTTGATTTACCAAATCTATTATGTATTTTCTATAAAATATTGGGAGAGGGCTCTACAGGCCAGTTAATCAGTAGTACACACTTTGTGGTTAAACAAAAGGAAGAATAAATACCAAGCATAGAGAAAATATAGGAGAATCTGCAAGGATGTGAAATTACAGCAGCTTCTTGTCTAAAGAGAATATTTTAGGAATCAGACATATTACCTGTTTATGTAAATCAAAACATCCAGAGTCTGGCAAAAATCTGATAAAAAGAGTATAAAATTCTACATGATGGAATTTTAGGTTTTAGTAAGCAGACTTTGAGGACACAGGAAAACATAAAAGAACAGTGTCAGTGTGGAGATAGGAAATTGTGTGGTGATTTGAATGAGGAATGCCCCTCAAGGCTCATGTATGCAAACAGTTGGTTCCTTGTAAGTTGGGGGCCACTGTAGGAGGGGCTATGTCACTGATGGTGGGTGTTGAGTGTTTACAGCTTTGCCCCACTTCCATTTTGCTGTCTGCCTCTTGAGTGTGGTTGAGCTGTGATCACGCAACTTCCTCTCCTGCTACTGTGTCTTTCCTACCATTATGGACATTTAGATCTTTGAAACTGGAAGCCCAAATAAAACTTTCTTAAGTAACTTTTGTTCATGGTATTTTATTATAGCATCATAAAAGTAACTAATACAAGTTGAAAAGAAGAGCCATTTTTCTGGTTAATTGCTAAAGTTTCTGAACCCAAGAAGAGCTGTAGTAATGAGAGAATTTTTTTAAAAACATTGTGTCTTCTTTCCTCAGAGTCTGTGGTAAGTTCTGTTTGCTTGAACTGAGGTGATGAGATAGGATCCCAAAGCACCTACATTTGAAAATAAAGATTTATTTAAGTATATATGTGTAAGGATTTGTGAACTTGTGTGAGGGTGCTTCTGGAGGACAGAAGAGGATGTCCTATCCTCTGGAGCTGGAGTTACAGGCGGTTGTGAGCTACTTGATATGGGTGCTGGAAACTGAACTCTTGGGCTCCCTGTAAGTGCAGTGTGTAATCTCAAACACTGAGCCATCTTTTTAGCCCCACACCTACATTTTTGTTGTGACATCAACAATCTTAAGGCTCAGAATACTAATTTATCCCAAATCTAGGATATCTTCATCTAAGCAGCATACATGGAAATCTTTTGTCAGGAAGAGTACCCTGGTACATACTGTGGCTTGGTCCTATGCCTGCAGGCTGGGAAGAAGCTCTGCCTTAACCAAACCAGAGTCCTCAGGGTACCTTTCCCGCTTACAATGCCAGTGGACTAGGTACTGACAGTGAACTCATGGTTAGGAGGGCCAGCGGGTGTACTACTGGGAGGCCCAGGTAAGAAAACACCAGAAAATGCATAGGACCTGCTCTCCCCGTTTTCTGGGTGTGCTGTCTAGGTCTGACCTTCTCTCTCTCTTTTGTCTGGGTATGTGGCCATGCCTGGTCTTCTCTCTCTTCTCTGTTGTCTGGGTATGTGGCCTGGGACTAGCCTTCTTTCTTCTATGGATTGGGGCTCCTAGTCTACTTGGCAGTGGCTAGAATACAATTTCTGTTAAGACACTACTTCTTACACTTGGCTTTCTGTTCTGGTCTTTTGGCCGTGGAGGCTTCAGCCCCTCATATTTTCTGAGCAAACCTTCCTCTCACTGACTGACCCATTAAGGAATCAGCCACAGCATTTCCTCAGAGTTCTTTAGGCATGAGTTTTAATCAAGGTTACGCCACACAACCATGCAGGTTATGTGAATCCATCTTATAATAATATACTAAGCATGAAAACATGCTGGATCAACACTGAGCAAACTCCTGATGAAAAACTCATCCACAGAATTTCTGCCAAGTATCTAGCTCTGATTTAGTATCCAAATTGTCCCTGGAAATAAAACTGGTACATCATATTAGAAATGAATTGTTCTTCCATTCTAGCCCCAGGCACTTTTGGTCAAGAAAATGCATCACCTACAAAACAGGACTTTAGTAAGGAGCAATTAAAACACTCACACACATACACTTCCCTGCAGTGTGGATGTCTCAGTGAGGTCTAGAAAACTTGAAACCATAAAGAGATAATTTAGTGAGTCAAGAAAATGACTTTCTGAGGCACCGAAGCTACAAACAGGGGCCATCAAATGGGCACAGGGTAAGCAGGAAAGGTGGAGAGGGAGTAGATGTGTACTACTGAGAAGGGCAGTAAAGCTGGGCATCTCAACCCACATGGATATTTGTCTTCTCAGCCAGTGAAGTCCTGCAGAATTTGCACAAGTGAGGAGAATGATAGCCAGGTTGCCATCTTTTGCGTGTGCCCATCAGAATCAAATTCATAGGATCTGAACAGTTAAGGAGAACCACCATAGCAAGAAGATCCCAGTTACCCGTCCACTATGGCAACTTTTGTGCCACATGAAGCTGGTGTTTCCTCTCTGTAAGAGAGGTTTGCTGACATAGGATTTTGATGTCTTAAATTACTTATTTAATGTAATCACCAACAGATTATTTAGCTTTTTGTTATTAGTATTCTATTATTACTGCAAATTTCATGTTTTACTATCTTAAATAAGAACAAGGTATGTAGGCATCTTAGAAACATTTAAAAGTAATTATATTATTTATCATAAATGCCCCTTGAACCTTCAAAATAATATATAATTAAAGTGGGCAAGTCTTAATATTTAAAAGTTAGAAACAAATGTATATTTCCATGATGAATTTTGGCCATATCAGGTTAAACATATTTCAAAAAGGTTTTAAGGCTCCATTTAATATGTTTCCCATACATTTCATATGTAGCTATAACATAAGAAAGACATATAGTCTAGTGGACTTAAAAAAAAAAACAAATATAATAGGACATCAGATTCTCCTCCAACAGTATCTCTGTAATTAGTCAATTTCATATTTTCATGTCAAATACAAGACAGTGACAGATCTTGTCATGGAGTAGATTCTTAGAAAATAATTCAACATCCTCTGGAGACTTATAAGCATTTTGCTCTACATGATTTTAAATTGGGACATTTTTTCAAATAAGGATGATAGAGCATCATCCTAGCCTTAGAGGACCCTTGACCAGATTGCTCCTCAGTGAATTCTGAGGGAACCAGGGTGTTTCAGAGGTTCTGATGCAGGCTTCAAAGCTTCAGGTGTGATTGGGGCCAGTGTGAAAATGCACCTGAAGCCCACTCCAGAGTGATCGAGGACAAGGAAACTAGAGTGACATGCACCAAACTCAAAGCTGCAAATACCCACTTTTGGATCAGATCATAACCCATGACCAGTGTAACTGAAAAATCCATTAAATTAATAAATTTTGCTGTATGCCAGCTGGTAGCAATGTGTACAGCAGTGATAGTACAGCAGTGGGATGCTAAGGATGCCCTCTGACAGCACCATTACCGTAGCAACCAAAAGAGTTCTGATGACTGCAGTGATCTGTATTGACTGTTGCTGTTCCATAATAGGCCTTATCTCTGAAGCCACTGAAGCAATTAATTGACGTGGGCTGTGGAATTTTGTCCCAACCAGCATGCCATCTCTTTTTATCATACGCAACCCATTCTAAAGAACACAGTCTATAATTGTGAAGTAATAATGAGGATTAGAACAATTTATAGCCTAAAGAGTGGGTTTTGTAAAAATTTAATATTTGAAGCCTTCTTCAAAGAAAACTGTTGATGCTTTTGATGCATACATTTATTGAAAAAAAACACTTTTTCAAAAAATAAAAAGGGAAGAACACTCTAATTTTGATACTTAAATAAGTTCAGGCATGGCTCACATAGCTCTCAAATAAATTGCATTTGAATTCTCTTTGAAGATATTTTTGGTGACTATTTCTGTATTAAAATTGGACAAAATGGTGGAGGATTTATATATTTTTTATTTTTGCGACTTACCTAATGTTGTTCTTGCTGGTGTAGCATCTTTTTTGATCCAAAACGACACCCAGGACAAAACCACAGTCAGTATACAGGGAATATATGTCTGAATAGTGAAGTATCCCATTCTTCTACTCAATTCAAAATATATAGTCATGATTACATAATCACCTGCAACAAAACATTGTCAAAGGCAAGACAACATTTATGGGTTAAAATAGTTGAGGGAAATAATTTATAACGTATTTTGCAAAATGAATAACTTGAATGAACATTACAACAACATCAAATCAGAAAAAAAAATCAAAATCTTAAACTGAACTTTTACTGAATCTGTACCTTTGTTAAGTACACAAAACAGCATGTTAGGAGCTGGAGAGATGGCTCAGTGGTTAGGAACACTGACTTCTTGCAGAAGACCCAGGTTCGAATCCCAGCATCCACATGGCAGCTAACCACTGTCTGTATCTCCCGTTTCAAGGGATCTGAAAGCCTCTTCTGTCCTTCATGGGCATTGCACAACATAGGTGCACTTACCTACATGCATCATAACACTCATACACATAAAATAAGAATAATAAATAAAATATTTTTTAAAAGCATGTTAATTACATGGTGGCGCATACCTGTAGTCCCAGCACTTGGGAGGCAGAGGCAGGTGGATCTCTGTGAGTTCAAGGCCAGCCTGGTCTACATAGTGAGCTGGGGCTATGGGGAGACCCTGTCTCAAAAAGACAAAAAAAAAAAAGCATGTTAATTGACAAAGGGCAAGCCATGCACAGGTGGTATGATAAGGTATCAGGGCTATAATGTGTCTGTATGCACACATACAATCAAGAGAAACAAGAAAACTCAATCCTGAAGCAGATCTAAGGTCACTTAAAGGATTTTTTCCACTTTAATAAATAAAGAAGAACTATTATATCCCACATAAACTTTGTTCTGTTTTTCATCATTTCAATATTTTTAGAAGTAGTATGTGATAAGAAATATCTGTGCTATCTCACATCATGCAGTTTAAAGGGAGAACCACATATGTGTTTCTATTCCTATCAAGTGTGAGCTCCTCCCCATAGCCTCCCCCATTCACCCTTCACAATCACTTAAACATTTTTAAAGCATTAAGTATTGTAAAACAAAGGCATGCTATGATTTTACTAAAATCAAGGGCATTATTTCATGCCCAGAGCTATGTTTAACTTTAAAGTAATACTTTTTCGAACAAGTAAAACATGGCAAAATTGAAGTAAATTAATTGTGTAAAAAGTTAATTAGCTAATATTAAATTTACACAAGGTTCTGGAAGAAATGTTAGAATAATTACTCATACACTAAATGCTGAATAATCTTTAAAAATATAATTAATGTTGAAATATTAATGGGATTTCTTCCTTCAGACATATTTCTCTATACGTCCATATTGTTTGATCCATTTCTATATATTTTTAACTTGCAGATGTTTTCTTTTAGCTTTGTGTTTCTATTAGGCACAACATCTTCTGTTTGTTCCTAATCAGGTGAAAGATTAAGAACATGGGATGATATTATATATAAACAACATAGAAAGCTGATTTCAGCTCCAAAGTCTGAACTGGGAAGTTAGTATTCTTCCTGTAGTCCCAGCACTTGGGAGGCAGAGACAGGCGGATCTCTATGAGTTCAAGGCCAGCTTGGTCCACATAGTGAGTTCCAGGACAGCTGGGGCTACAGGGAGACCCTGCTTCAAAAAGACAAAAGGAAAAAGAAGAAAGAGATATACACACTGAAAATGAACTTATTGTGGGTTTTATAAGAAATGAGATTGCAGGTGAAGCTCCCATTCCAGAATCCAAATTACCTTGGACATCCAGAGAGATGAAGAACACGAGATGCTCAAGAGCAGAAGGTCCTGAAGCAGGGCGTCCACAGAGACACCAGCAATTTAAGTAAATTTACGGTGGCTCAGTGTTAACTAGCATGAGTGAGAAGGGCCTGAGGATTGCTGACACAGGACTTCCTCCAAATTCTCACTTAGTTCTCAATGGGAAGATCTGAGAAACTCTCAGGGCACCCCAGATGGCCAGAAGTATAGCCATCATAAAACCTTCCCAGTACTCTTCAAACTGTCATGTTTATTAAAATCAAAGAAAGCTTGAAAAACTTTCTCCACAATTAAAGACAAGGGAGATTTGGTGACAAAATGTAGAATATCCTCAGTAAAACAGTGCCAGACAGAAGAAACCTTGCTTTGAATTGTTGGCCGGGATAGTCCAAGAGAATCTCAAAATCACACAGGGTATTGTCACAGTCCTTGATTCCCTCCCAGAACTTGATGGTAACCCTATCGCTGAAGACAGAACATACTTTAGACACAGGATTTGGAGAAATGGAGCTGGAACTGACCTGAAAGCTACTTCCCCAGAAGGCTAGCTCTCATAGCTTTGGAGAGCACTAAGCAAGCTGCTACGGGAAAACAACAATCAATGATCCAATCCTAGCCACAAGGCCTAAAAACAACATCAATGACCAACACAGCAAATGACATTGGTGCAATAGTGGCACTTTTATCTTGGGGATAATCAACACCCATCTAATTGGACTTAAAGCCAACTTAATGGGAGAAAACTTATGTCTGGTACTATAAACCTAGCCAAATACACATAGCTGGAGAGGTCATAGACCTTAGAGAAAATGCCAAGGCTCTCATATCCCTAAGCAAATGTAATTTCTTACTATGTGCAAAATACGGATCCTTAAAATTATAGACAAATACACTGGTCACCACCCATCAAAGTAGCTTCTTTTTCAAGATATAGAGATTATTACAGAGTTACACCACTCTCACACACAGAGGTTCTTATTGAATTGCCCAAGCCTAAGGGGCATATCTAGGGTACAACCACTACATTTTATGGAATATGGAACAAGGGATGAAAGGAACACTAAATACATCTTTCAATTCTCATCAATGAAGTTCCCTCATGTAACAGAGGGCCGGGAACACAAAAGGCCACAAATGCCCAAAATGCAAAGCATAAGAGTCTGAAGAGTGTGTGTCCTTGTACAGGACTCCTATATTGATTGAGGTCTACCCACGGGGGTTCAGGGTCCATTGCAGAAGAGGAGACAGAAAGATTGTAAGAGCCAGGGAGGAGGTGCATGACAATACAGAAATGGCCCTACAGGTCCCTGGGACCCTGATCATACAAACCTACAGCAATGGTGTCGGCATGCAAAAGACCCATGCAAACTTAGGCAGACAAAAACCTAGCACAGAACCATGGAAATTAACAGCAAGCCCCAATCTCAGTCGAAGAATTATTGGTAGGTGATTACTGCTGGGCGAGGAAGAGCTGATCTTGAAGAGAGAGACTCTAGATAAACTGACTAAACCCGGGTGGATGAACTTGCACTGAGGGACATCTGGGTACACTAACTTTACATAATATGCCTTAACACAAACGACAGAATTTATGAACTCAGAGGGAGGATATGAGATGATGACAAAAGGGAAGATGATATAAAAATTCAATAAAAATTAAAGTAAATAAATAAATAAAAGTCGTAGATGGTAAAATTAGAAAAAAAATCTAAAAACCAATTTTCAACATAATGAAAAAAGAAAATATCATGCAAATACTATACAAAGAAAGTTCTAGAAAATCAAAGACCTTTAGGTTTTTAAAATAAAAAAAAAGGAAATCGTGGAGAAATAAACAAGGGAAACAGAGTTATTGTGCTACTTAATAATAATGTATCAATATTAATTCATCTGTTTTTCAAATGTACTATAGCACTTTAGAGATGTAAGCAAGCTGGGTCTGAGGTGCAGATAGAAACTCTATGCTATCTGTACAATTTTTCTATAAATAGAAAACTATTCTAAATTTAAAAGTTCATTTGCATTTCAAAACTAAAGCCTGAATAAGACATAGACACAGTCTTGTTATTCAAGGGTTTTAAAATCCAAGATTAAAAAAAAATCAACTTGGGCTGAGGCAAATACTCTTATGATTTATCTATCCGTGGATAAGGCATTTACCAGAGAGAATGATGAAGAATCAATGGTAATGATGCAATCTATTCATGGACAATTGGAGCAACCTATTCATTAGTCAACAGTGATTTAAGTTAACAACTTACTGAACCCATCAGAGATTGAAGTTTTCAGGACAAGAAACTAATCAAAATTATGAAGATAAGAACTGGTGTCAAAAAGTTAGCTCCAAGCACTGCTTTCCTAGGACCAATACTACAAATCATGATGTGGTCCAGATAATTTATATTCAGCATGAATTTTCATCTAAATGCCATATGCTAGTTGTGGGACCTGCTGTCCACATTACAGGTTTTCCTTTCTCCTGCAAGTTTGTCTCCCAGGAACTCTACCAGAGTTTCAAAGGAAAGAGCAGAGAGAATTCTGAGAGAAAGCCTCTGAACAGGGCTACTATGAGAGGGCAAGAACAACTCTGCCTGTACCTCTACATGTCCTGTGAAACATCTGTCTCAATATATATGAGAAAGAGCAACCAAATTCATTCACTAAACTGGAGGTAGGAACCTACTACAACTGTAAGGTATGGGCAGGGCAACTACGAAGGACAGAAAGCCCTTTGCTGAGAGAGAGGCAGGAACACTTCCCAAGCTAAACATGATATCCAGAAGAGGAACAGGAATGAGCCCAAGAATCAGATCTATAGATCTTTCTTAAGACTCAGTCTAAGTTAAAGCATCAGATAATACCCTGCTCTTCCTTATTCCAATCACTGACACACTAACAAGCATAATGCAAGAACAAAAATGTGTCTAGAGAAGAGATGATGCCAAGGTGCTTTCTGGGAGCTGATAAAGGAAGATCCAAAACCACACCAGAAGATTCAAAGTTAAGCAGGAAGCAGGCTACAAACCTGGCCTAAATTAAGAAAGCAAAGTTTTTATTTTTAAATATGCATATATATGTGTGTGTCTATGCACGTATGTAACAGTGGCTCTGAAATCGAGAGGTGTTGGATTCCCCTGGATTTGGAGTTATAGGTAGTTGTGAGCTGCCTGACATAGGTTCTTGGGCACAAACTTGGTTCTTCTGCAAGAGCAGTATGTACCCTTAAGTACTGAGCCATCTCTGCAGTTTCTGGCTCTACTTTTGTCTGAATGATTTAAAGCTCTCACACTGAAGGCCATCAAAGGAAAGC